CCAAAAGTGATGTCCTTCTCACCTTGGGGGATTGGAATGCTAAAGTAGGAAGCCAAAAGATAACCAGAATAACAGGCATGCTTGGGCTTGGAGTACAAAATGAAGCAGGGCACAGGCTTGTAGAATTTTGCCAAGAGAACATGCTGGTCAGAGCAAACACTCTTTTCCAACAACCCAAGAGACGACTCTACACATGGACATCACCGGACAGGCAACATGGAAATCAGATTGACTATGTGCTCTGCAGCCAATGCCATGTGGATAAACTGAGAAGCCAACCAATAATTCCCAAGCACCACCTTCTAGATAACTAAGATCATGGCATTCAGTCCTTTCACTTCCTGGCAAATAGATGGGGAAGAAATGGAGGTAGTGACAGATTTTATTTTCCTGGGCTCCAAGATCACCACAGATGGGGACTGCAGCCAACAAATTAAAAGAGGCTTGCTCCTGGGGAGGAAAACTATGGCAAGTCTAGACAGCATACAAAAAAGCAGAGACATCACCCTGCCCACAAATATGTGTATAGTCAAGGCTGTGGTTTTCCCAGTTGCAATGTATGGCTGTGAAAGCTGGGCCATAAGGAAGGCTGAGTGTCGAAGGACTGAGGCCTCTGAATTGTGGTGCTGGAGGAGATTCCTGCGAGTCCCTTGGACCGCAAGGTGATCAAACCGGTCAGTCCTGGAGGAGATCAACCCCAGTGCTCTCTAGAAGGCCAGATCGTGAAGATGAACCTCAAATGCTCTGGTCACCTAATGAGAAGGAAGGACTCCCTGGAGAAGAGCCTAATGCTGGGAAAAATTGATGGTGAAAGAAAAAGGGGAGAGCAGAGAATGAGGAGGCTGGATGGAGTCACTGAAGCAGTTGGTGTGAGCTTAGGTGGACTCCGGGGTTGGTGGAGGGCAGGAAGGCCTTGAGGAATGTTGTCCATGGGGTTGCGATGGGTCGGACCCAACTTCGTGACTAACCACAACAACAACATGGATGCGCCCAGCACGTTCCTTTCAGCCGTGAAGGGGTGGCCTGCGTCTCGCTCTTGCCTGCTCTGGCCATCCTGAACTCGAAGCGCTGCGCTTTACCTCTAACTGCCAAATACGAGGAGAATCCCCTCACTCTACATAAGTCAACAGGGCAATATTTGCATCTCTCCGGGCCACTTTAATTTTAATTTATTCTGAAAGGAAGATGGCAAACAGACTTGTCCTTTCCTGCTTTTGCCAGATCTCCGGGGTAGCGAAATGATGCTCCTTCTGCGTATGCTCAGAGGGCCAAGTGGAGGAAGGCAGGTGGAAGTGCAGGAACCCTGAGGCAGGGTCCCTGGAAGGGGCCGGCAAGGCGCAGGAGCTGAGCCATGGTCCGCAGGGGACCTGCCTGGCGGAGGCAGCGCGGCAAGCCAGGAG